AAACATCCTGTTTGATTGTACTCCTCCAGGCTGGAGCACATGATTTTGGTGCCGATGCTGCAAAGCTTGAAGCGAGGCAGAAGCTTGTGTTTTGCCAGTTCGGCACGCAGCTTGGCAACATCCTTCTCCGGCGTGAAAAGCGGGGGAATCCGCTCTCTTGCAGCGATGGGAACGACGTCACCATCGCCATTTTCTTCGGGGAGCACCGCAAACTGGTTGGCTTGCAGTACCCGTTTTCCGGCATCATCCTGCGACGCGCTGTGCTGTATTACCACCTTCTTTGAAGGGCCCGCTGCTGAATCATTGGTACGTTTACGCACCATTTGTTTCGTGTTGGCAAGTTGCAGTAAACTTGCCAGAACGCGCGAAGGTGGCGACACTTCCACGGCGCAACGCGACAGCACAAACCGAATCGAAGCGAGAACTCGAGCGAAAAAGAGGAGCTAATGACATACAGCAGCGCTCTTTATATCTTTTCAGGTTAAAGCAGAATGATGTATAAAAGCTACAAAGACTCCTCCCATTATGAATAGTTTGCTATCAAGTAGCGACACTGGCTCTTTTCCTTTTGCGTACACGGCGAATGGAAACGACCCAAATTTGAGTTTAGTTCACTCATAATCGCTAAAAGTGCAGGAACTCAGCGATGAGTAAATTTGTCTCATGGTTTCCTGTGGAAAACCTAAAAAATCGGCCAGAAAATGAGGAAATTGACGGAAATTTTATTCAGTCTCGGAGTAGTACCAATAGACTGAGTGAATCCAATCTTTACTTTTCTCAAATTCGGGAATTTTTCCCTGGAAAATCCTGGAAAAACCTGGGAAACCATGAGGCAAATTTACTCATCGCTGAATTCCTGCACTTTATTTCTTATTTCTGAGATAACTAAACTCAAATTTGGGTCGATCTCATTCGCCGTGATATCCCCTTGAAAGATGTCGGCGCCGGTGGTTAGCGTGATTACCTCTCACCCCAGCAGGCCTGAGTCCAATCTCAGTCGGCGCCACCGGCATGTTCCAAGGCATAACATCTCTGATCACGCCTTCCTTCGGGAAGTAAAGCTGTTGGTCGCCGATTGAGTTGATGGGTCGATTGGTAGGGTCCAGGTGTGGGAGCTGCCTCCCTGGCGTCGGTAGCATTGGAGCTCAGTACGGAAAACAAATCTCGCGTCACTTTTCAATAGGTCCTATCTACATTGATCGATTCTCTTCATCGACACTCTCTTTCGTAAATAACTCGGCTTCACAAATGTTTTCTGCCGTCCTGCTTCCAGTTTGATTACATCAGCATTTTGTGTGATCGTTGGTTCTGAATATAGACAAACAGGCAGATGAATTCTATTCCTACTCTTTACTGTAATAAGCTTGGTGGCCCTGAAAAGAGCCGTTTTGTTGCCAAAGTTAGTGATGATTTAACCTTCGAAACCAAACAGAGTGCGTCTCTGTCACTTCAAAACGTAGATGACATCGATGGCCGCTTACGCTTGGCGTGTTTAGTGTAGGTGACAGCATCACCGATCTCACTTTTTAGGAACACCTTCAGCACACCTCGTAAATCAGACCGGAGATACGTCAGACACCGCCGTCAGCACGAGCCAGACGACGGATGGTGGTTATCTCGAAGAATTTGCGTTTGGTTATGAATATGGCGATGAGTGTGCAAAATATTACGCAATTCCATCCTCCCTATTCGCACGCGCCCGAGGATTGGAGGCGAATGCCACTTCGACTTGTTTCGTATACTTACTACTCTCTGACGACTGTGCTGGGGAAGCAGCATATGCATGTAGGTAATTGGTGGATTTGTTAGTTAATTCGACGCTTTTGGACAATGCTGGACATTTACCAGTTTTTCAATAGTTTCTTCTTGTAAATCAACATTCGGAAGCACTGTTATCGATGCGTAGCCATATTTCTGATCGATTTTTTGATAAAATTATTGAAATTGCACCAGGGGCAGCTGAGTTATTAACGTTCAAAATCTTTCTTAATTTGTTACATGTTTCATTTTCGGTTTTCACAAAGTGTACCCCCATATAGAAATCAAAGACGTAGTCCTACGTCAAAATTCAACAGTGAAATGTACAACATGAAAAGTTGGTAAGATAATGCAATTTGCAATGTAGTATTTTTAAATGTACATGAAAGTAAACATAAAGGTTATTTTATTGTAGATGAACACAAGTCAACAAACAACGATCTGTAATACAAACGAAAATAGACAGTAGACAACCGAACGGGTTGTAAGCATAATTTAAGGAATGTAAGTAATGTTTGTTCCTAATCAAATAAAATATCTAATTGTATCTATATATACCCGATTCAATATATTTTACAATTTGCAGCCGTCCAGTTGATTATTAAAATAAAATTAATTGACGGGTACATTACTCATATCAATATCATATTGGCTGTAGAACGGATCTCTTTCTGTTTACCTTGCTTTTAAATATCTGAAATCCTCCTGAAATCCTAATCACAAAACATCGGTTCGAAAGTCCGAAATTACGTCTGATTTGTTTTCGCTAACCCCGCCCCTCACGAAGGTTTCAACCCGTAAAAAAAATATAATAATACAACGGAATTACAATATTTTTTACTGTTGAATTTCGTGTACATTAAAATTTATTGTTAAATTGATGTACGGGAGAAAAATAAAATTCGTTTTTTATCGATACAATGCTTAAACAATGTAAATTAGTGTGATGAAATCAAATTTATTCTAGAAAAATCAGTTTTTTCATTGTTAAGATGGTTAACAACCCCCCTTTTCTCTGTATATTTATCAAATACCATGATTTGCATTGCTGTGAACCATAAATTTTGTTGTGATTTTATGGTAATCGACAAAAATGTCCAATGTATTGACAATAAATATCATGGCTACACTGACAATGAAAATAATTGTGTTTTTATTGGATTTTTGTTTACGGGGAGATTCGGGAAACCCTGCTTAAGACGGCCTACCGATAACTACCGATAAAAGTTTTGAGAAGCTACCGATAGTGAAAAAATAATCTGGCCACCCTGCGAACAACAGAAATAAACTAAACATTGTATACGACGGACGTATTCGAGTGTTTCTCTCGCGAAAACCATCACATTCCGAAATCGTATTTTGAACCAGTGAGCTATCGTGGAACATACAGCACACTGAAAGGAATTTTGCAGTAGAAATTACTATATTGGGGGCAGTGTTGGCAAAATCAGAAATCAATTGATATTTTTCCGCTCTCATGCGCTCGAAATATCACGCGTGATATTGGAACAAAATATCATGCTTGATATTGATTTTACAAGCTCCTTTGATATTGCGAGACTATTCGCAACGTACAACAATCAAGCTGAGAGTTGACTCGACACAAAAATGATTCCGTTGCATATCGTTTTCTTAGAAAGAGAAAGTATAGTTTGCTATCTCTTTTTACTCCTCACCGATGGCAGACACGAAGTGACTGCTGCCAGCCAGCCGTTATGGAAGGTTTGGCTGCATTCGGGTGTAAAGTAAAAATCATGGAACTCAATCTCACCACAGTGATTGATGAGATTTGCAGCTGGTGAGTTTTGTTAGCTTGATATTCCGAGCTGCGATATCACAGCTTGCAAAATCAACCGCATTTGTTTGCTTGTTGATTTTTGTCTACGAAAATCAAGCGTGATCTTGGGCGTTGATGAGATTTGATTTTTTGATATTTTCCCAACACTGATTGGGGGTTTAAAATAAATGCAACGCACCTACGTTTTTTTGCTGACTACATTGTGTTTGGCAACAAGCACAAAGAAAGTCAAAAATACCATGTAGTAAAAAATTGCTATGCATGGTATTTTCAACAAAGACTGCATTCAGTTTTACTATGAAATTTTCTCGGGGTTTGTGCCCTGGCTTTTGAAGATTTTACTATGTAATAGTTGTTTATACTATTCTGCTTTACCTGCTCTGTGATGATTTTTGTTTTTCAATTAAACTCTGGATTTTATAGCACGCTCACTTTATTTATCATTCTTACACATAAAGACTATACTCCTACAAGTTAGACCGTATTCCTAGCCTAACCCAGATAAACAAAAACGGACACTCGCACCGCACTCTAATCGATCAGCATAAAATTATCACTGCTTTTTCCATGCCAGATTGAAAATCTCTCGTTCACTCCACACGCCGATGCAGCTTCTTTGTTCCGGTACATTTCACAGACATTTGTTTCTTAACTCTCGATCAACGAAATGATGCTGCTTCTTGCCGTGGTGGATAGCTTTATACTTCCTACTGTAATATACGAATAAAAACAGATGATTTTGAAATGAAAAGTACAAATTTTCTACATCCTTACCTTGCAGTTCCAAGTTTGATTTTTTCTGCGGATTTATTTTCACCTCAAACCTCGCGAAATAGCGTTACAACGACGTGAGAAAATAAAGCAAAGTTAAAACAGTGATTTCTTGTTGTTTACAAATGGCTTCCATCAAAACATTCGGATGCATAAAGAATACCATGAATATGGTATTTACAACCGCAACATATTATCAGCAAAAAACTGTCGGTGCGAAGCTTTCTATTTTACTACAAATGCGGTTGAAAACAATCGAAGAAAATGGTTCGTGTCCACAGTCGCATGCCGCATGGTAGATTCAAACATTTTAACGATTACTATTAGCCGAAAATCTTAACTACGGTTAATGGTTAAAAATACTATATAATTTCTTGCTAGTGCATGGTACTTTCTACTGAAATGCGCTAAATACAATAAGAATTGTCGTAATTTCAACTATTTTATGACATGGTTAAAATAAACATAGTTTTCTTGCATTAATTACTACACAATTATGCTCAGTGCATGGTGCTCAGTAAAATCGAAAATAATTCGAGATTGGCGTATTATCCTCGATTGAGCTTACCGCTATAAATGTGATTGATTTTGTAGCAATCGTCGTCGGTACGTAGACAATCGTTAGTGAGAACAAACTCGATTCGCTCGAGTCTGCAAAATGAAAAACTGGAAAATGAAATTCAAAACAACAAAAGAATTTATTCACGTGCACAACTAACAGTAAAAGTTGAACTTTGTTTCAAAGTACGCGATCCGAGTTCATAAGAAAAACTGCATTGTTAAAGCATTAGTCGAGCACTAGCTTCCATAACAGTAAATATTAACAATAAACAGTCTTCTGAATCCATTCGTCCATGTTGAACGAAGCGATTCCTTTGACGTCCTTTGCTCGGAAGATATCTGAAAGCAATGGAAATACCTCATCAGTTATCAAATCTAAAGAAAAGAAACAAAGCCCATTCTTACCGATCATGGTTTTGATCTTCACCGCACAGGTGATGAAGTCATCGAACCATATCTCCCCTTCACGCGATCCATACCGATGCATCAAGCTGTTGAGAATCTTATTGTTTAAGTGGTAGCCGGCCGATTGCAGAGCAGCCCGCAGTTCGAACGGATTCAAATGCCCGGAACGGTCCGTATCGTACAGTTTGAACACCGCCTTCCATCGAGCGATTTCCGTTAGCAGTTTCCGAAATTCGACGAACCCGAGCTTCCCGGAATGATCCTCGTCCAGCATGGCCACCATTGAGCGGCATGCGTCCTTGGAGAAACCAATACCACTGGAATCCGCTGAAAATGCGAACAGTTGTTTGTTAGATGTTTGAATTCTAGGTTGATTAACTTATGAATCCTATTTCCACCACCGTTAGTTGGTTAGTAAACTACTACATACGATCCATCTCACCGGCCAAAAGAGGTGCTCGTTCCGTTGAGATCATGTAGTCTCCGGAAGTACTCTGTGGAGGTCGATTGTCTCCTCCGGCCATGTTGAGGTACCAATCCTGAAGGATGGCCAACAGGCCACAGCACACGACTTCGCCTTGAGCTGTCGTAGGTTTTTTGACATGTGCTTCTACGGGCGCCACATGGTAACTACGGGATACTCCTTTGGCCGCGATCGCAATGTCATCGCGGAAGCAGTGATCCAAAACCATTTTCAGTTCCATCCAGTCAACCTCGCCGTCGATGCCTGCCACGTCCAGGAAAAGCTTTTCCATGGCTTCTCGCTGGGGATCGGGTTTCGTAGGATCCGGACCCTTTGATTTGATCTGTAAGGATCGAACTTTGGTCAGATTACTGATTCAGAAAGCTAGAGGATGTTTTACGATGAACGAGTACTTGTCCAGGTCGATGTGTTAAACGTCATTTGAGTCAAGGTCTGTCAAAACAATCAACATATAAGACGGAACTTACTGGAACTACTGGTACATCGTTGTTGTTACTATCTGGCGCCACCTTAAAATATTAGCATACAGCAAAGGATATATACAGAGTGATTAGCGACTACTACATGCACATTTTGTACGGAACACCACACTTTAGCATGGAAAATTGGGATTTGAGGATATGCGCACAGGGATTGACCCATAAGCGTTTGGGGATTTAGGAAATTTAGAAAGTCAATCTTACCCGGGGATCCAAATCGCACTCTCCAACACAGTCTTCGTTCTCTGTCATGCAATCCGGGCACTCGGAGAACACCCGGATCATGAACTCTCCTTCAACGTTCGGGTCGAATGTCGACGGAATCACTACATACGTTCCGGGATCTAATCGGAACCGATAGGTAACCTCACGCAAGTTAACGAAGGTCGACCGAGCTACGGATGCATTTCGTAGGAAGAATTCTTTGGGTAGAGGTTTCCGGACAAGATCACGCTCTGTTACTCGGTAGATTATCAAACCTACTGTAAGACACTCCATGCCTTTGTACTGTTTGGATCGTCGGTTTTTCTGCAATAGTGCAATTATGGCAGTTGCTTTGGCTTCGTCGTCGTCTTTGTCCGGAACTTTCAGATGAACGACGTACTGAGGGTTATGCCAGAAGGTATCTGGATAGTTCCGGCAACCACCAGCAGTGCTTCCAATGACCCATTCACCTTCAAATGCCGACTGTTTCCAAGGGTAATTCCCACTCTTTCGAATGATGGGACAGTCCGGACTCATATTGCAGATATCAATTCGGTCAAAATATTTCAGAAAATCCTGAAACGCCATCCAAAACTCGCCATCGATTTCAAAGATCAATCCAATATCGCGTTTGGTTTCCTCTGGGATAAACTTCCACTCCGGAGACTTGTCACTCCACGCTCCGTTCCATTCGTTAGCGTTACCCCAAGGATTTCTCAGCCTTATCAACGGGATCTTCCCCTTCACATTTGGCGTCTGAATATCCACCATCTTGGCCATCGTCAAGGAGTATGCATGTCCTCGGATTAAACCCTGTGGAGTCTCCGCCTCCGGTTTGTACGGGTCCGGTTCCAAACTACATGCAAACATTGCATGACTATTGAACCCCTTCTCAATGATCTGATACAAATCCTTCGGAGCGTCCTTCATCTCATACGACTCTGCTATCCCTCCAGTGAAATCCACCATCGCCTCACTCGCCGACCCACCCCTCAAGGCCTCGTAAGATCCAAAAAGCTTCGCATATGCTTTCTCCAGCAGAGCACTCCAGAACTCGTTATCTTCGGTGGACCGCATGTAGACCAACTTACCGCGAACGGTTGGCAATCGATCGTCGATAACCACATCGTACCACTGTCCAAACCTCCAGAACCGGAAGTGAAAGATCCCTGCATAGTCCTTCTTGAAGCTGTTATCCTCCGGGACAACCCTCGTAAACAGTTGCGGATCTTGGGTGAGGTTCGCCGCAGCAGCCAGTAGCCAACAGTCACCCAGCTCACCCTGATTCACGTCGAACCGGGAATAGCTGTTCTCGAAGAACCGTGGATCGGAGGAGATTTCGCTGGGCCGGAGCCATTTCAAATTCGGGCGAGATTCTTCGTTGAACGTAAGAGATGACCTGTTGGCCGGGAATTCCGGGTCTTCAAACAGGGTTCCGCTGCGGAGGCAGCGTTTTTGCAGTGCGTAGAAATCCTGCGCTTCCGCACTGCGGGGACCGGCCTTTGGTTGAGCCTGTTGAAATAGAATGGGAGGAATTAGATTTACGGACGTTTTTTTGGAAACGGAAGAAAGTCTCGATCGGTTCAACGTTCAACCATAGAGGTAACTCTAAGACTAGTAGGTTAGTTGGCTCAGCTGTGGTATTGTCTTCGGTTCCAAGCAAATCAATGCACTCCTCGAAACATAGGAAAATCCACGAACCCCTCATTTTATCTGTCAAACTTTCATAGCAAATCAACACAAACATTGTGTAGTACTAGAAATTCGACTTGAATGGGGTACGTTATTTGATTTGCTTGAGACCAATAGGCTAGTCAAGTAGTGAGCCAATTTAAAATCGATAGTTTCGTATTGATTGTTGGTTCAACGGCGTATAAAAAATCATTATATGCAGTTTGCTTCTTGTGTGCAAGGTTGCAAAGACTCATTTCAGCTAAAACAATGTTTTTCTAAATTATGAAATAATTAGATGCCATGATCAAATTTTGAATTGGTAGGATACAAGAAGAGGTTGCAAAGAATGTGTTTGACATATTAAACCTGTTTATTTCACTTCATGAGAGTCACAATCAGCGATTTTTCACAAACTCACTCACTCACTCACTCACTCACTCAGCGATCAGCAAATCGCTGATTGTGACTCATAGAAAGCAAAATTTACAGGTTTTATGTTTCCAACGCATACTTTGTAACCTCTTCTTGTAAGTTACAAGTAAAACATGCCATCATACCATCTTTTGGGTTTATTATTCCGAAAAACATTATTTTAGCTGAAATGAGTCTTTGCAACCTTGCTTGTGTGGTGGTTTATCGTTTTATGGATTAGATTCATCGAAGCGTGAGTAGATTGGAAAACCGCCGATATGGCTAATGCAAACGGCGTTGGTTGCCCGGAATGAATGTCTGTGCATTGTAAGACATTGATTAGTGTGGTTCCGATATCAGTTATATTAAATTTGCTTCGAATCAGAAGGCAATATCAATTAACTTTATCTATCACCGAACAGCCGAAAATAAAAATGAGCCAAAAATAAATAAATATTTACACAGTTACTGATAACGAATATCGATTTGATAGCAAATGTTCTGAACTGCATTATGGTTCGAATGCTCATATTCCAATTGAAATATCGCTCGCTTATAGTACATCAATGAATCATCAACTGCGTCAAGCTAAGATAAACGTATTTTTACTTTCAATGCATGTTAGTATCAACCTCTTGGGCCTATGCCAAGTTCACCCCAGTAGGTTGATTTACAGCGCACCATCATATTGAGCTCGTTTTGGCTTCACTCTGTTTATCAAACTGGCTTGTCAAATATTCCGCGAACTCGTACCTATTGATAAGAGAAATATGAGCCGAATTATTCTGTCTCGCTTCATCCGCTTCAAATAGCTTTGTTTGTAAACATTACCCAGTGCTGGGCCTTAAGAAGCATAACGAATTTTGTAATCAACCTTTTTAGCTGCAAATAGACTGAACAACTACATTTTTGTACAAAATCTTGTTGGGTTGAGTGTTATATGAATGTACAGTACGACATTTCTCGCATTGATGGGTCTTATTGGTCCGATTGTTCCGATTGTTTTCAAGCTTATACCGATAACCTTTGAAAACCGGTAGTTGTTAGTATTTCAATTAATTTTATATTTTTTACGTTCTGAAGGCGAAAATTTAAACTGTTGGATTACAAACAGCCTTTCCAGGAAAGTCGAAAGACATTTTCGGGGAACATATAAGAAAAATAATGAGAATCTTCTGGGGAAAAAAGAAACTTTCGGAAAAAACGGGTCATCTAGAGGAAGTCAGAAAGGTTTCGGAAATCGGCAGAATATTCTAGGAGTAGCCATTTCCTGGGGAAACTAGAAGAAGCTCCAAAAAACCTTCCAACAGAAGTCGGAAAAGCCTCCAGAAGAAGCTCATGACGAATGAAATTTCTGTGAGAATTTAATAAATACTTCTACTAGAAGTTTAAAGGAACTTACTGGAGAAGACGTAGTTAAAAAGAAACTTCTGAATAAAGTTGGAAGCTTCTTCCAGTCGATGTCATAAGGTTTTCGCAACAGTCAAAAGAAACTTCTAAGAGAAGTTGGGAAAACAATTCCTGGAGGAAGAGATTTCTGGGGGATGTCTATTAGACTGATGCAAATTTTGACATTTTCGCTCCACAGTGCTCAAACGGTTCCAAATCGGGTCCTGATTAGTCTCCCAAAATTTGAACTCATTTGAAAAGAAACTGACTTGGCACAAACCATTTGAAGTTTATATGGAAATTACTATGGGAAATCCAAACTTTTTGTTCATTGTCTTCTTACCTTTTTCCATATGGCACTGTTCAAAAATACAAAAGCTATACTTATGGAAAATTTTCTCAGCTTCAACTTAGCAGAATGTAGTTATTGAGCCAAACGTCAAATAAAATAGTTATTAATTGTTTAAGAGATTGATAATCTTATGGCATGATCAAGCAGCTGTTTTGTGAGCAACACTGTATCTTGCAGTGTGACATAGTAGCCATGATTTTTGTGCTCTATTCCAAGCTCCAGAAACACCAATGTTGCCTGCTGAACAGTTTGAGCATAATCGTAAGACATTAGTGGCTTGAATTATTGATAACTTTTGATGCTAACATTATATTGAAAAGTGGTTCAGGACAAAGTTGTAGCTGAGAAAATTTTCCACGAGCTCAATTATCATTTTTTAAAGCAGAGCTATATGGTAAATTGTTAGATGGATATGATCAAAACATTTGGTTTCCCATAGTAATTTCCATATAAACTTCAAATGGTTTGTGCGAAGTCAGTTTCTTTACAAATGAGTTCAAATTTTGGGAGACTAATCAGGACCCGATTTGGAACCGTTTGAGCACTGTGGAGCTAACGGCGCCGGTGGTGTAGTGGTAAGCGTGATTACCTCTCACCCCAGCAGGCCTGGGTTCAATACCAGTCGGTGCCGCCGGGATGTTCTGAGGCATAACATCTCTGATCACGCCTTCCTTCGGATGGGAAGTAAAGCCGTTGGTCCCCGGTTCATGAGTTGATGGGTCGATAGGTAGGGTCCAGGTGTGGGAGCTGCCTTCCTGGCACGTCGGTAGCATTGGTGCTCAGCACGGAAAACAAGATCGACGGAAAAAACAAACCAAAGGAAAAAAAAAAAAAAAACAGCACTGTGGAGCGAAAATGTCAAAATTTGCATCAGTCTAATGTCTATTTATCTATATATAAAAATGAATTTCTGTCTGTCTGTCTGTCTGACCCTTATAGACTTGAAAACTACTGAACCGATCGACGTGAAAATTTGTATGCAGGGGTTTTTGGGACAGGGAAAGGTTCTTATGACAGTTCGAGACCCTTCCCCCCTCTGTAAAGGGGGGCTCCCATACAAATGAAACAGAAATTTATGCATAACTCGAGGGGGGCGACACATCTAAATCTCAAGTCTAGATGCTCAACAAATCTCACACTAGCGAATGAATCTTCGAAAAATCTTCTTTCATTTCTCACATCTACTTGCATCGCGTATTATCTTTTTGCAGGAAATCTTCAGAATCGTCATCAATCTTCTTTCTATCTACTCAGCGTGCGCGCAGCTAGCCACAGCAATACACAATCTTTTCTGCATCGTAGATAGAGTCGTCCCCTCGGCATAACTCGAGAACTAATCAAGCAAATGGAACCAAATTTGACATGTGGAGGTTTATAAGGGGTAGCCATTTAGAGGGGGGGGGGCTACGTACAATATAACATGCTTTTTTCACGTAGGACTACGTCTGTGATTTCTATATGAGGGTACACTTTGTGAAAAACAAAAATAGAACATGTAACAAAAGTATGAAAGATTTTGAGCGTTAATAACTCAGCTGCCCCTGGATCAATTTCAATAATTTTATCACCGATCGATCAGAAATATTTCTACGCATCTGCTTAATTTAATGCCTAAATACTTAATCATTTTTCAAAATGTCACTACCTGGGAAAAGCGATTTCCCTAACACAGATTTCAAAGTTGAATTCCATCCGATCTCACCAAACGGTGTTTATTCAATCACCGCGTGGTGATTGGTGGTGTACTCCAGTACACAACGAAAGGATCCCCGCAAGCAGCTAGCTATCAAGACTGGCCTCAACCGCTGATCGGATTCAGTTCCAATCACAGTGTGTAGAGGTCAAGGTTGCAAATACTCATTTCAGCTAAAATAATGTTTTTCGGAATAATAAAACCAAAAGATGGTATGATGGCATGTTTTACTTGTAACTTACAAGCAGGAATGCCATTCTGCCCAGTGTAAGCAGGGTGATGAGTTGAAAAGACACCTCGCACTATGACAAAAGCAAACTCACCCGAGAGATCTTTATTTTGTTTTCACTTTCTACCGCTTCTCCCACTTCGCAAACAAATACAGCTTCTGACGTTCGCACCTCCTACAGTCCAACACGCCGGAGCGGATGAGTGATCACTAGGGAGCACCGTAGATAGTTCTTTTGCTTCACAGGGGAGAATCACCGCGGTGAAGACTTTGGTTGCTAGTTTGTTGCATACTTCTTCTTCTTATTCTTCGCATTTCAAGTTTATTGCATATCGCATATTAGCTTATTGGCGTTGACGGCGACTCTGTAGCTCTTTATTCCTATGGAAAATCGCGTAAGGAAACATCAGACTGTGCGTGATGTTAATTGAGAGCTTTCGATGTCTGTACCATTTTTTGCATTGGTATAATTGTGTGGCAAGTCCAATCATACTTCTATGCCCAGGTATGTCGAGACATTTTCCAACCCGAAAAATTCCTAGACCGGACCGGCAATCGAACCCAGCCACCATGCTGGACTTTGTAGCTGCGCCTTTACCGACTGAGCTAAGGGAGGCCCCAGTTGTTGCATACAAAGATTTTATAAAGTTTACTTTTTATATTAACGTCTATACTGAGGTATGAAAGTTCAGCCTGCCTGGGTTGCAGAGTTGGAAACGACGCAGAACCAAAGGAAACCGAGTAGTACATTCCGGCTCATGCCC